AGTGATTTTATATAAATATAATATTTTTAACTATATATATTACTAAAAACTAAAAAATGGAAACAGAAATAGATAAATATTAGCTGCTCTAAAATATAGGAATTATTTGGCTTCTCAAGGGAAAAAGAAGAGCAAATATGGGCAGACACATTATTTAGGCTTTTCAAAGAAAGAAACTGAAAAGAAATGGCTTAGAGCAGGGGTCCCCAACCTCTGGTCCGTGGACTGGCACCGGGCTGCAGCATCTCAGAAACTGGGCCGCGTAAACAATCAAAGCCCTTCCATGGGATGCAGGCAGCAAACAAAACCTCTTTCCATAGAACCAGTCCCTGGTGCCCAAAAGGTTGGGGGGGGGGCGCTCTGGTTTAGGGGAAAACCACAGAAAACTGATGGGGGGGGGGAAGGTGGCACAATCAAATGAAAGCATTTCGTGACGATAACAAATACAATATATTCCAGTACTCCTTACCTCTATATAGTCCGTGGCCACACTAAATGGTATGCATTTACTTTCTAAATTCTCAGGATTGCCACACTCATAATTGCCTAGGAAAAAGGAAAAAAAGTTACCCAGATGGAAAGAACTCAGCTTTAGACAATTATGAAATCTGCTAAATAAAAGAAATCTGAGTCAAGAGTTTCCATTGCATCACTTGTATAATTGGTCAGAAATACATCTGTAGATCATATGCTTATGTATGTATGTTTGCATATACGTATGTATATATGGCCTAGCAAAATAAATTAATATTCTCATGTAAATCATCATCTAAGGAAATATTAGAGGAATGGAAAAATAAGTAATGCTTTCTGTAAAACACATGCTTTGAAAGAGAAGCCTAAAACAATAAAAATGTTTTTTACTTTTTTCCCCTTCCCAATTCCCTTTTCTTTCTATATTATGTACTTGAAGATTTTAATCTTAGAGAAGAGAGAAATGGAATTAAATTTGTTTTTTACCAAATCTTTGAAGCACCCTCTCTAATCATGCTTCTTTGGACATATTCCAAGTGTGCATAGGATTGCAACCTAGGGCAGCTAGGACATTTTTAAATACAGAAAAACACATTACCTAACAGTAATTTTCATTTTAAAAAGAAAACATTTACCAAGAAGACATTCAGTTCTACAATGCAGATTAGAAGGAACATAGACAGAGAAAAATGAATAAGCCTGAAAGAAAGGAATTATATGGGTTGTTACAATCAAAATTTATTCTAAGCAAAAAATTAAAAATCAAGACACGGTCTAGTAAGGGCTTTTGCAGATAACTTGGAGTTGGCCCTGGAAGATCTTTTAAGGGGAACTGAAATATTAATGTGCAAATTAAAAGAATTTGGTGCATTATCAGGTTTTATGATGAATAAACAAAAGATAAAGATGTTAACAAAAATGTGAAAGTACTGATCAAGCAGATGTATAGAATGGGTTTTAAGATTGATAAAAAGGTAAAATATCTGGGTATCATTATGATAAATATGAATTGTATATTATTTCAAAATAACTATGTTAAGACATGGAATGAAGTTAAAAAAAGATAAGTTAAGGTGGAATAAACTACAATTGTCATTGTTGGGGAGAATTTCTGTGAGAAAAATGAATGTCTTGTCTAGAAAGATATTTTGTTTCAGACAGTAACTGTTTTGACAATTGATATACTATAAAAACAGTGGCAGAAATATATAGTTAAATGCATGTGGGAGGGGAAAATTACAAGTTAACTGTAAAGTGTTACAAGATGCAAGGGAAAGAGGAGCATTAGATTTACCTGATTTGAAATTGTATTTTGCAGTTTGCCGTTTGATTTGGATAAAGAGTGGGTATTGCTGAGAAATAGAAGGCTTTTGTGCCTGGACATTTTAGAAGGACATGACCTGAGATCAGGGTGGTTAACAAGGTTAATGTGGATCTTAAAAATAATTATGTTAGAATATGGAATAGATATAAACACAGGTTATGCTCCTGTGTGGATCTCAGCACAAGAAGCAGAGAAATATAGGCAAATACAAATGGTTAACTTATCACAAGATACTAGAGCTTTAAATAAGGAAAAGAACTGTGGTTATATTAGCTAATGGTTCTCTTATTCACTATTACTAGAAAGATTTAAAGTAGATAAAATAATTTATGGTTTTGAACATTATAAGAATGAGTTTGAAACAAAACTGTGTACAAATTATTAGGAATTGTTAAAACGTGCAAACTTTTAGTGAAACTTGAAACAAGAATAGCAAGTGAAAGTATGTATGACCAAGCGGATTAAAGTCTTTGGTTATAATATAAAGATGGAACAATGGTAAAATATGTAGCTGAGAGGATTGAAATGTATACCAAATTATAATCCTAAAGGGAACATTTATAAAGTGACGTACAATTGATATATGTCACCAGAAAATTATCCAGAATATATGAAGGCATTTCACAATTATGCTAGAAATGTGAACTAGAAGGAACCCCAAAGGTGCTTTTTCAAGAGGCAACTGGACTTTCTTGTTTTTCTTTTTCTTTCTTTCGCTTCTCATCCAAGAAGCTTCTTCAGCTCTCAACAAGAAGGAACATTTCATATTGTTTGGTAGATGTGTAAAAAGCTAGAAAATTTTGGATTCAAATACACACAGTTTCAGAAGATTTGAAAGATTAATATACAATTGAGACCAGAGGTTTTTCTTTTGGGATTGAGAAACAGTTGGAAAAACTTATGGAACTTTGTTTTTGTACATAACTGTAGTAATATTATTGTACGTACATAAATAAAAAGATTCAGCACTACCCACAAAGGAGGAATAGTTGGTGAAGATGATGAATCTTGCTAGGATGGCTAAATTAACTTCTTTGATCAGAGAAAAGACAATATCTACGTTTACTGCTGGATGAAAACTCTTTATTGACTTTTTAGGTGAAACTGAAAAAAATGAACTTATGATTTTGATGATTATATAAAAAACAGAGTATTAAAAATGTTATGTTGTAACCACAGAGTAAGAGATAAATTTATAACTATATTTATAATTGCTGTAAAGAAGGTCAGAAGCTACTTTGTATCATTTTCTTTTCCATTGTTCTTTTCTTGCACTTTTAGTTTTCTTTTTCTCTTTTTTAAATTTCATATTAGTTTTTATTGTATGTATAAAAAGATAACCGTGTGAAAAATGACACTAAATGGTGAGACATTCAGAAAGGATAAAAGGAAGTACTTTTCTACCTAGCACATAATTAAATATTAGCCAAGGCTGCCATCTTGGGTAGCTTTAACCTGGGATTCAAAAAATCATGGGTATCATTGATTCTAAGTCAGAATAGCTCTTTATTATTTTTAGCACTCCAAGCAGTATGTCTTTTAATTCCAATTAATCCAAGCAAATGTGGAGATCCGGTTGCATTATGTCCTGTATTCTAGTAGATATACAGATAATCATTATAGAAACAGTGCTGCCTTAATCGATCATGCCTTATATTCACCACATATAAAATTGTATTTATATTTAATCTGAAAATATCCCAGTTGATAGAAATAATCATTTTCATACTCTGACTGATCAGAACTTACCAGCTTGAATTGCAAGATAGTCGTACAACTCATACAATATGGTTGTTGTAATTTCTTCTTGTTTTTCCTGACAGTACTGAAAAAGGAGGAGGAGGAGGAGGAGGAGGAGGAGGAGGAGGAGGAGGA